GCTTCACATCAAAGAGACACCCGGAAAAAAGTGACAGTGATTAATTAATGCAGAAGAAGGTGAAGCTCGGAGCCTTTTCACACTCCGCGCCTCAGACTGACAGCGCAGCCGCTCTGCTCGGCCTCACTGCGCTCTGCAGCGCGCCCCCTGCTGGACTGAGCGCTGCTCCTCTTCACTGTGTTCTCCTTTCCTTTCCAAAGAGCGCCCCCTGTCGGGTAAATGGGGTTCACGCCTTTTAAAGAAGCCCGGGAGAGCTGGATAGTTTTAGGTTTTCAAAGAGCGCCCCCTGCTGGACCAGACAGTTAACGCTTTGGTATTTATAGACCTCCATCTGTGGCATCTTTCTGCTTTCAGAGACACAAGTTTTTGTCGGTTTTCTATGGAGCCCCGCTGGTCACATACTGTGTAAATAAACATAACGCGTGACCACGGCTACGTAAGGCATGGGAATGAGGTCCTAATGCGTGACCACGGCTTGGTAAGGCATGGGAATGAGGTCCTAATGCGTGACCACGACTTAGTAAGGCATGGGAATGAGGTCCAAACGCGTGGCAGCGGATTAGTAAGGCATGATCTCGTTCCCACACCTAACTAAGTTGGGGCCACGACTTAATTATCTCATTCCCAACCCCTACTAAGTCGTTGCCACACATTAGGATCTCGTTTCCATGCGTTAATAAGGCGTGGTCACACATTATTTTTATTTATATGGGATGTCACCAGCAGGGCTCCGTCGGTTTTCAGTTCTAAATATTTCTATTTTTCCATCTTTTTCATTTATAAGGATGCCAAATGTGTAGGATGAATCCTGTTCATCTTTAAACAGCGCCCCCTGTTTAATATAACGCTTTTGAAAACTGTATTTATTTGTTTGTTTTTGTGTTCATTTTTCTTAATTCTCAAAGTTAAGAGTTGTCATTTATTTTCTTTCTATTTCTGTGTTCAAAGAGCGCCCTCTACTGGGAAGAACAATTTTTTTAAAACATTTTCAAGGGATCCGTTTGTTGGACAGATCTTTTTTTGTTTTCAAATAGTTTAGTATTTGAAAATAGATTTTTCTTGTCGTTGTTGTTGTTTACAATTATGGACAGATGGTTTTTCCCATTTTATTTTCAAAGGCCTTCTCTTCTTTGGATAAACTTGCTGAAGAAAAAAGCAGAAAAAATGGACACAATATGTTTGTCCAGCAGAGGGAGCTCTTTGAAAATGAAAAAGAAAGTTGAATAAAATGACTGAACTTTGTTAAAATACAAGCTTAAAAACAAGATTCAACCAAACAAGCCAACACTTAAGCGGCAGAAATAGAAACTGTGGCGTAATAAGTGTCTTACCACGAGTAAAGGTTTTGCAGTTTAGAATGTTTTTAGTGGACAATCACTCATCTGTTTTGTTGCTGTTAGCCTGGATTAGCACGTTTGGCCCTCAGTTGTCAAACCACTAAAGAAGAGCTGTTTGTGTCTCAGAACATTCGTGTGCATCTGACTTTAGTTGGGTTTTCTGAAGTAAAGCGTTCTTATATTTGAGACCTCGATCTCTTTCAGGAGCCGAATTACAGAATTTATTCCACAAATAATATTCCCAGCAATGTTGTCCATTCCTGTTTTCGTCTCACTTTCAAAGAGCTCCCTCTGCTGGACGAAATGTAGAACTGCACACTGAACCTCCTCTGTTCTTTCTGTGGCAGTGTAGTTTGGATTTACCAGGTAAGGCAAGTTTGTTACATTTGCATTAGGCTTACAAGTTTTTTTTTCTTTTTTTACAGTTTTTTTTTCCATTTTTATCTTATGCACAATCTATAGCTATGATGGGGCCAGATCCGATCTCAGTGTATTTACTGAATAAATGTGGCCTAATTAATCTGGAATGGATCACTGAGATTCTCCTGGAAACTATTTGGGGTCAGCTGTTCTAATGTTTTGCCACTGAATAATATTTGGATGATATCAATAATAATGAATGAGAAACAGCTGTGCATTTATACTCTTGGGTAATTACCAACAGCACAACTAAGATAAAAATGAGAAATGTTTAAAACACCTGTGCATAACTTCTGTGATGTGATAGTTACCAAAATGCAAAAAGAGAATACCATGATTAAGATTTCAGAAAAAAAATAAAAATTGAATAAAAAGTACTTTTTCGGGATTAAAGGGAACATTAAAGGAATTAAAGCAAACACGATTAAGGGGGTGAATAAAAATAGAAACAAATGATCTCAACACGTAAACATCGAGGCCTCCAACAATTGACGGAGGCCTCAGTTTCATTTTAAAATATGATATTCCAAGTGTGGTACCCTAATTAATAACTCGGTTTCTGAAGAATTCAACGACTAGAAATGATTTGTTGCATAAATTATACATTCTGTAAAAGTTACTGCCCTATGCAAAAGTTTGGGTGCCCAGGTTAAATTGCATGTTTTGTTGATTTTCTAAGTGAAAATGAGTCAAAACGTCCTCTACAGAGACATGCAGCACATTTTAATACACGATTACTAATTATTCAGTTTACAACGCTGCACTCCCCGGTTAAAACAGGACATTTGTTATAGTTGCTGATGTTATTGTGTCCGAGGAGGGTGGATTATGTGTGTGCTTGCCTACTCTCCTCATATATTGCCCCCCCCCAGTGTTTGGTGTTAGGGGTAGTGCTGGGCTGTACATTTCACTGCCTGCTCAGAAATAAAAGAGCATTTGCTCGACGCAACAATGTTTTATGTTTTGTTTGGTTCCAGTATGTCAAACTATTAAAATTTTATTAATTGTGAACTAAAATTTGCAGGAAGATGTTTGAACTTTTGCACATGACTGTAGATGACAAGTTGATGCAAGATTCAAGGGGGGCTTCTTACCCCAGGTAGGGGCGTATGTTGGAATTGCTTTTCTTTTTTGTGCTATCGAACTAAATTGGCTGCTGTTGAAGCTTGAAGTTTAACATGGATATTGTTCCCAATTTACTCTTACTTAGAATAATTCTTCAGCTGAACAAATATTATATTTTGCACAAATTCTGACCTCTAAATCAACTTCTGCCCTGATCCACTTTTTATAGTGTACAGGAATAGAGTGATACACAATAGATCACTATAGATGAATTGTACAGTGCTATAGAAATCAAATAGCTTCTTATAGCACTGTTAGGTCTTTTCTGTAAGGGTCAATGAGGAGTAAACACATACAGCCCTGAATGGACAACTCATACTGGAGGAGTTATAGAAATACAGACGGATAAGCGAGAGATGGTGGTAGGCGTTTTTATTGTTTGTTTATACAAAGAGCTTTTCTTGGTTACACACAAAAATAGCCTTTTTTAAGCCCAGGACTTTTCAGTTGCATTTTCAAACAGCTCCCCTCGTTGGACAAAACGCTCAGTAACTTTGCTTAAATGCTTCTGGGCCTTTTAGTACAGAGCGTTATGATCAATTCACTGAATTGACAACAGATTTAATATTTAAAGTGGCCCACATCATGGCAAAAATCCGAGGTGAAACACTCCTTATAACTTCTTTGTAAATGGGCGGGGCTAAACTGCTGTAGGCTGAATAAGTGGATATATGTAAATGAGTTGTTTTTTCATGACACCACAGAAACAGTGAACTCAAAATGGGCAGCTTGCTTTTTTAAAATAAGAGATGAAGTTTGTAAACGTTCTCCCTTCAGTCCATACAGTTCATATATGATAACTGAGCTGCCCATTTTGAATTCATTGTTTCTATGATGTCATGAAAAAAACTCATTTACATATATCCACTTATTCAGCCTACAGCAGTTTAGCCCCGGCCATTTTGAAGAAGTTATAAGGAGTGTTTCATCTCCGACAGCTTTTTGAACGAGGCGTAATACCGGACTGCCAATTGGAACAGAGCTCATTTACATATATCTGTCTTAAAGGCACAGTGGCAAAAACCTGAACAGCCTGAATGATTCTAAGAGATAATGAGAGGCTGGAGAACTGAATCATGGCTGTTTTTGGTACATAAAACATAAAACCCACACAAAGGTTATAAGTGGACCTCAGGGTCAAAAATAAAATTTACCAAAAATGTAGGATGTGGACCCTTAAAAAAAGAATGAGAGGTATTTTCCATGTACTGTTTTTTCTGTGCAAGAGCAGTTAGGATAAAAACCAGTTACGCCCTTTAGCTCAGTACAGAATCACTAACGAATGTTATAAATCTAGACTGTTTTGGAGTTCCCAACATTCTCAAGCTTTCAGGAAGGACACTCTTTAGTAAAGGCAATGGGTTCTACATAGAGAATGTGCTGCAGATGGTTCTACATAGAACGTTTATGAAAAGGGTTCAATACAGCACCAAAAAAGTTCTTCTATTGTTACAAGCTTGACATCAATAATAGCAGAATACATACATACATATATACACAGATTAGGCATAACATTATGGCCACCTCCTTGTTTCTACGCTCAGTGTCCATTTTATCAGCTCCACTTACTATGTAGGTGCACTTTGTAGGTCTACAGTTACAGACTGTAGTCCACCTGTTTCTCTGCATATTCTGTTAGCCCCCTTTTACCCTGTTCTTCAGTGGTCAGGACCCCTCATGGACCCTCACAGAGCAGGTACTATTTGGGTGGTGGATCATTCTCAGCACTGCAGTAACACTGATGTGGTGGTGGTGTGTTAGTGTGTGTTGCACTGGTCTGAGTGGATCGGACACAGCAGTGGTGCTGGAGTTTTTAAACATATGTGCATATATATATATATATATATATATATATATATATATATATATATATATATTCAAAAAGGTTCTATTTAAAACCATATACATCTCATGATTCATATATAGAGCCATTCCCTCTACTAAGGAACCCTTAAAGGACCATGTTCTTTAAGAATAGTCGGGGTCTGTCTGTCTTAGGCAGTGTTGCATCAACCCAGTGCAGGAGGTGGAATACTACTAACCAATCCTGGATCAGGGGGCGGGGCTTTGCAGGAATACAGGTGGAAATTTATAAATAACGCGGCAGTGGGCGTGGCTTTACCCTGAGCGCTTCCCGGGAGCGCGCAGAGCGCGTTCAGAGCAGCGCTCAGAGCAGAGAGAGATGGAGCTGGAGAGCAGGAGGAACCTGAGGGAGAAATGCGCCCTCAAACAGGACATCCTCAAAGAGTTCCTGGCCGAGATCCTCGGAACCTTCGTGCTGATAGTGAGTACATCTGTCAGGAGGTTGTGTTCTGTGTCTAGGAACAGAGTTAGAGCGCTGGGGTTACACTTAGAGTGTCCATACCTCTCCACCCGCACTTACACGAACAATACAAGCCTCAATCCAGCACTGGATGTTTATGTTACTGTGCACTGCATTAATATTACAGTCAAACCGTCCTGCTGGGATTTTTGCTTTAAAAACACCATTTTTGTGTTTATGATCACAAACAAAAGTACTCATTTCACCACACTGTAAAAACTGACTTGATGTTTCAAGTTTTAAAAAGTGAATAAATCTGTTTTTTAACTGGTTTTCAAATCATTAGTTGACAGAATTTTTTTTGTGTACATGTTTACATTGTTTACACTGATGTTGTTTACATTATTCGCATTGTTCTGTCAGCTTAGTAGTGCAGTGAGCTCAAAATCTAAAGGCAGCCACTTACTGTGTTAACACTTTATTTGGATAGTCCACTTAGATGCTTTGTAGATACTTCATTTGCTTTCAAGTTACATTCAACTAAATATCTACTGAATTGACCATAATTGTCTTTAAATCTGGCTCTAATCCTAACCTTAACCTTAACCTCAACCCAAAACCTAAACCCGACCCTAACCCTGGTCCAAATCCTAACCCTAACCCCACCACTGTTTAGAATCAACAATGTTTCAATGTATAGTTTGTTAGCAATTTGAACATCTGTAGATAATCTATAGGGGACTATAGTGGACTATCCAAATAAAGTGAGACCCCTAGTTTCTGACTTAAAATAAAAGTGGTCAAAGTGGTCAGTAAAAACTGTACAAATTCATGCTAAAAACTTTGAAACAGGCATGTAAACAGAGCAGATAAATAAACAGTAAATATAGTTTATAAGGTCAGTTTTGCAGTGCGATTGTTAAGTCTGAGTTTAAGTTCAAATGCTGTACAACACAGAAGTTTAGTTTTTCAAGTCATGCATTGCGTTTGATTCAAATGTGTACATCATTTCCTCAGGATTATGCTAATTTATGGCTGGGCGATTTGACTGTATTTATCATTATCGTGATAAATTACATGACAATATGCATTTCTGTGCATGTTGTCGATATTTAAAGTACACTGAACAGCTGCATGTTTAAATACAGAGAGTGTAATTAGACCTGTATAATTGTATTTAATGCAGGGAAATGTTGAATAAAAGTTATATTTGTTTTTTTTTATATTTTTTAAAAAATGTTGCACTTCTGGTTCTTTTATGTCTGTTCCGCCTTATCAAACCTCAGAAAAACCAAATATTGTGATGCGTATCATGCATCGTGAAAACGCCTTAAATGAATTATCGTGATGTTTTTGCCACATTGCCCCTCCCTAATGCTAAATTCTGATGAACACATTTGTCTTCATTGCCATATTTATACTCAGTAATAACAGTTAAAACCCCCTGACCAAAGGTACTGCCTCTGGTCACTGCCTTTAATTGGTGTACAGCCTTTAGATTGTGTGGAGGTTCTTTAACCTTTGAAAAGGTTCTTCACACTTGCGCAACTCATTTCTTAAATGGGTTTTTAAAAATCCCATATTCTACATTTTTCAGTATTCCAGTTCTAATGTTTGTGTGGTTTTATGTACCAAAAATAGTTGTAATAAAATTTTACTTGACCATTTTTCAACCCCTCTTTTTCCTTTAGAATTTAACATTTTTGTTACTGTGCCTATAAGACTGACATATGTAAATGAGCTCTGTTCTGATTGGCTGTCCTGTATTGCACCTCATTAAAAAGCAGCCTGGCTGAAACACTCTTTATAACTTCAGTACAAAGGGGTGGAGCTAAACTGCTATAGGATTAGTAGATGGATATACGTACATTGAATTCTAAATGGGCTGTTGTTGCAGCTTAGTTTCCATTTATGGTCTGTACTAGAGATAGTGATATGTCTGAAACTATAATAATGTTTATATACTTTATTAGACTCTTTTATCTCAAAAAAGTGAGAAAAAATTAGGTTTCTTTAATATGGGTCCTTTGGTTCTTTAGTTCTTCATAGGTTCTTTTGTTAAGGGAATGGTTATATATAGAACTATAACAACTATTAGAACCACTTAAATGTTTAAATGGTTCGTCTTTATGATGGAGAAACTGTTGTATATGCTTCTTTAAAGAAGCCTTTTGGTACTATATAGAACCCTTTTTGCTTAGAGTGTGGCATTGCTTCAAAGAGCCCTTTTTGGCACCTTTACTTTTAAGAGTTAGATTATCCATTCTAGACCCATCTTCACTCCTGTGACCCCTCATTTCAGTTTGTTAACCTCTTCTGACCTCATTTGTTGTCTGACCCATCAAAGATTAACGGTTGTCTCACAATTAGCAGCATGAACACAAATATTAGGTGATATATTCTGTTAATGGATTAGTAAATGCAGTGACAAGTTACTTGCATTAGTGTACAAATCAGTTACTTTGTTAACCAAAGTTTTGACGCAGCTTTCAAGCAGTCATCTGAGAATGAAGAGCTATATCACTGCTCTCGGAACCAAATCTCTTTTTTTTTGTTGTTTTTCAAATATTGGCTTAATTTGAAAATGTCTCTTGTTCTTTACATTGTGTGTAACTTTCATGATGAATGGACTAAAAGAAACGGCTCAAAATTACTTAGAAAAAATTCTGGTTCCACTGACTTACATTAAAAGCAAAGCTTGTTTTTCCTTCTTCTGTAAAGTTACCATTTTGGAGATACAAGGTTTTGTTCCGACAGCAGAGATATGCTGTATCTGCATTACTTGGTGTTATTGCTTAGTTATGAGTTTAGACCCATCATAGTAATACTGTAATCCAGTATATCACAATATAGAGTACAATTATATGATAAGTATGCCATAGGTATGGGGGTTGGGTCATCATCTTTGCAAGCTTTTGAGAAAGAACCTGGACTAATTAAATGTCCTTTAACCTTTAGCCACAAAATATTATATTATAATTAAATATGATATGTATGGCATTGACCTAACAGTTATTACTGATACAGTTCATTTTATATCAACAAAGCTACATCAAAATGTTCCTTATATTAAAATCCCATATCATGGCAAAACCTCATTTATAATGTTTATTGTAGTATAAACATTATCGAGATATCAGAGCATGCCGTTCACTCCCCAGTTCGAATAGTCCATATAAGGGGCTGCAAAAACAACCCTTTCTAAATTTTGCCCCCTTTATTTGTGATGTCACAAAAAACCAGACATTGACATAAAGCCACTTATTAAGTTGGCTTAAAAAAGCCAACTTACTGTTCTTTGTAATCTTCTTATTATTCTACGCTCAAATTTTGTTAACTTTTCACCGTTCACAGTTTTTGATGTACAACCACCACATTTTTCACAAATGCCCCTCACATACAGGAATAGTGCGCTTTTGCTTTTTGGACTGATCTGACTTAAGACAAATTTTTTCCCATTGAACATGAATGGCCGAATGTTCAGAACATTTAGTCAAACTGCTTCAAGTGAATGTCACAATCTACGTCTCTGACACAGACAGACATATACAGTACACACAGACTCACACGCTTACAGCCTAACGTACAGCAATATCAGCACAAATAATGTAAGGTGGCACGGCATATACGGTAGCACTGAATTTAAGGTGGCAGTAAATTTAAGGTATCAGTAAATTTAAGGAGGCAGTGAATTTAAGGTGGCGGTGAATTTAAGATATTAGTAAATTTAAGGTGGCAGTGGATTTAAGGTAACAGTTTAAGATGGCAACACATTACCATCCACCATGGATACTGTAGCAACTGCCTAGCAACATCTAAGCAACACTTCAGCAACCATCAACAGTTTTCCACCATATTAACATGTTAAGGTAATTAGCTGGCTTTTTCAAGCCAACTTAAAGTTTGTTCATGAACTTTCCCTTTCTAGTTTCTAGTTTAGCTCTGCACATTCGCATCAAAGTTATAAGGAGTGTTTCATCCTGGACAGTTTTTTGACTGAGGCACAGTACAGGACAGCCAATAGGAACAGAGCTCAGTCTTAAAGGCACAGTGACTAAAGAGAGGTTTTTAAATAGTCATGTAAAAATTGATCATAACTGCACATAAAACAAAACAAATGTCACAAGAGGACCTCAGGGGGAAAAAATGAAAGATATATAAAATGTAGGATATGGATCCTTTAATATTACTACTAATAATGTAGTTCACTTAATATTAACAGTCATATTCATAAGGTTTTTAAGTGTTATTGTTTTGTTGATGTTAACAGATGCAGTAGCAGTTGTGTAGTCTTTTTAACATAGATGTTTTTTATTTGGATAGCCTTAATAATAAGGTTATTAAATTATCAGTGATAAACAGTTTAATGACTGAATCATTACAGGCCCTTTAACGGTCAGTATGTATGGTGAAATGTAACCATGGGCAGAAAGACTACCCTTTTACCTTCATAGTGACCTCAGTGAAGTTAAGCAACTTTAATCAGGGGGGTTGGGTCATCTTGTTTGCAAGCTTTCGAGAAAGACACTGGACTAGCTAAATGTCCTTTAACCCTTAGCCGGGCTCTCCCTGCACCACCAAACTCCCAGTAACAGCACTAGAGCCTCTGCTCAAATCTATTTAGCCCATAGTGTCCTGTTTGGGTTCTATCAGTGTTAATTACAGACTGGAACATTATAGGAGTGGACATCTTTTGTTGCTCCTCTCTGTTGTTCACTCTACAGTTAGCTGCAGCCTTTGATCGTCTAATTAGACCTGAGGTTCTGTGGAACAAGAGAGTTTTTATATAAGCTTCATCATTGGAGAGGAGAGGTGATTACTCCACTGTGTCCTGCCCCTCTGTTTCTGAGAGCTGATTTGTTGTGCCCGTCTCTGCCCCCTTATCTGCCCCCATCTCTGCCCCCGTATCTGCCCCCGTCTCTGCCCTCTGTCCTGTTTCAGCTCTTTGGCTGCGGCTCCGTGGCCCAGACTGTCCTGAGCCGAGGGACTCTGGGGGAACCACTTACCATCCACATCGGCTTCACCACCGGAGTGATGCTGGCCGTCTACATGGCCGGAGGCGTGTCAGGTAACTTTGCACACGCACATCCATTAATGTGCAGTGCTGTGCAAAAGTCAGAGACCAGTCAAAACTGCCATTAAGTACAGGTTATTCATTTTTTAAGCACCATGAGAAAAACAGAAAATATATATTTAACAGAAAATTACATAGAAGTCTCACCAACTACATATAATATAACATTTTTACATTTTTAGTGTCTCAACAGAGCCTTTATTACAGCTTCCATCCTTTTCAGGAGACTCGCTTTCAGTTTTTCAAAGAAATCTGCAGGGATGTTTTTGCATACCTACAAAGTTCAGTCTTAGAAGTTGGTTGTTTATGCTGTTTCTCACAATCCAAGTAAATAAAATCATTCGGTGATGTTGAGGTCTGGATTCTGGGGTGGTCAATCCATTGTTCTGAGAACGCCAATAGCTTTTTTTGTTTAATTCTACTTTATTTGTCTGTTTTCTTTTCTCAGTGAGGCCTTGCAGGTGGTTGTTGGGAGTCCCATTTTCTCTGTAGCTTTAAATTTTTTTTCTTTTTTTTTTCACTTATTTTTGCCCTTCCTTACACAAGTGGATAGTTTTGCATGTAATTTCTTCAATCCTATTCTTATTCTTTTCTTAAATATTCTCAATAAATGAATCATTTGTCCTTAATGGCCATTTTGACTGGAAATTAATTAAATGAAGGGTGGTCTTTGACTTTTGCACAGTACAGGCCCAGTGTCCACACAACAAAATAATTTTGAGACAGTAGTTAACCAACTGACCAAGACCAGTGGACACTTAATTAATATGTAAGTAACCAAATATGTAGAGCTTATTTATACAATACAATGTACTTATATATGGCAGATGACAATAGAGGGGGATGTATCTAATCAGAATGGGGTTTATTAAATACTGAAATAATGAGAAAGATATAACAGTCTAGTCTGCATGGTAAACCTAGTCTAGACTGAAAAACGTGGGAAAGCAAAGGTTGTATTTAGCTGTTTGTCTAAACTGTGAGGTCTTTACTTTGCTGTGATCTTTGGTCAGTCCAGGCTCTGCTCTTTAAATTAAAGCCCATCAAAAACATGCAGCCTTCATCATTGCATAAACATGTATGTAGATACTCAGTAGGTTTCCACACTGTGAGAACTGGAAAGGGAGGATGATTTGAAGTTGATTTGTACGATTACACGTTTGTACGTAAACCGTTATTTTGCTTTCCACCACTTAAATCAAATCATTCCTTTACTTTGAATAAAACCAGATAAAGCAAATACATGTTTAGTTTGTAAGCTAAAATATGAGTGTGTTATGTATGAGTTCTAAATGTTACCAGGGAACTACAGAAAAAGTGTTCATTATTATGATGAATCAAAAATGCATGTCTGTCTCAATGTAAATGTCTATTACTGTCCACTCTACTGTGTGGAGTGGAAAAGGCTTCCTGAGCACTAATAGTAAGCCCCACACAGCTGGACTTAATATGCCCCATACTGGGCACTCCATCCTGACCTTTGTCCGCAGGGAGGGAGTGGTGGACTTGGTTTAGAAAGTAATGAAGACTCCTGCTTCATATGAACTGCAGGATTAGAGAATTGCACAACTGAGTGAAGGGCAGCGTCTTACTGTGTTGGTGCTCTGTGCCCAGTAAGGGTGCCTGATATGACAAAAATATTACGATACGTGAAGACATTTTCACAGTTTACAATATGTGTCATGATATTTAGCTTTACTGGTTTGAGAAGAAAACCAGAAAACAGTAGTGCCATTTTAGAACATGCTATGAATACAGTGATTAAATGTCAACATTTGGAAAAGCAGCTATTTAAGAAGGAACAGGAGAAAAAACTAAGCAAAAAAATCTAAATTCCAGTATATTTCAGGCATTAAGATGTAAACAATACCATTCAGAGTGGTTTGATGTGAAATGGTTTGTTGTAGAAAAACTTACAGACTCAGATTTCATCACGGTGAACCAGGGGTCACCATGTCCAGGCATTTTATTTACTATCCAAAACCACCAGTGGACCTACACGTGTGTCCTGAGTGTTTATATGCATGCTGATAATGGTACAAAGAGTGATACATCTGAAAATGTAATGTTTCTTTGGGCACTATTTTGCCTTACAATCTACCTCTCTGCCATGAATGGGTTGAAAAATACATGTTTTTCACTAAAACCTTCTCAGAACTACCATAAACAATATCTGGGGCATTAGACAGTATACTTATGATCATTTTATGCAATAACTTTCTGTGAAGGAGCTTTTAGTGGTGGACATCTGACTCCTATCACCACCATTTGTGAATATGTCTGAGTTGGTAAGTTTCACTAGAAAAGAGCATTTCACCCCAAACCACTCTGAGAGACCTTGTTTACATCCTAACGATTTAAGTGTGAATAAATTTTGAACATCTGGTGGAATTCCACTTTAATGAAATAAGACGATATCATAATGAACTGATGACATCCAATCAGCTAACTGTTATTTTGCAGTTTATTAAAAAAAAAACATAAGTGGAACCCCCTTTGGTGCTATATAGAACCATTTTTAAAAGGTTCTTTAAAAAATCTTATACAGTTTTTCTGCTATTTTTTAGTGTTATTGAAAAAGAGACGATACCCATGATAGAGAAGCGTACTAGGATGTAATTTATCACAATAACGATAACGTATCAACATAATGCCCTCCTTTTGTGCCACGGGTCATTCAGTGTCCAGCCACACATGAGCCTGAGGTTATAATGTCCAGTGCCAAACGATGGCTAGAGAGGATTAAGCCCCCCAAGCATTGGGCTGTGGAGCAGTGGAACTGCGTTCTCTGGAGTGATGGAGCTCCAGTACCTTTGGAATGAGTTGCAGTGATCCAGACCTCACCATCCAACAACAGTACCTGACCTCACTAATGCTCTTGTGGCTGCAATCAAATCCTCACAGCAATGTTCCAACATCTAATGTAAAGGCTTCCCAGAAGAGTAGAAGTTGTTACTGCAGCAAAGAGGGACAAACTCCCTATTAATACCCTTCATTTCAGAAGAAATGCTGGATCTACTTTTGGACAGTGTAGCTGTCCTTCTGGACTTTGATCCAGATGTTGTCCACTGGCTTGGTTTTCTTCCCCTGAAGGTGTTCAGAGCTACAATACAAACTTATGGAACTTAACCCACATTCCTAAAAATTATGGTTCTTAAGGGGTTCTTTAGTAAAGAAAATGGTTCTATATAGAACCATGACCACTCAAAGAACCCTTTGCATGATCACAGGGTTCGTTGCAACATGAAATGGTTCTTCATATTGATGAAAAATGTGATATATGTAGTTCTATATAGAACCTTTTTGAAGAAGGGTTCTATATAGCACCAAAAAGGGTGCTTCTGTAGTTATGATGTCAATCTTTAATAATAGAAGAACCCTTTTTGGTGCTATATAGGGCCCACACATTATATGCTATAAGTTGAGTGTGTTCTCTGTAGAGGATGTGTGAACTTCACTTAGATAATCAACAAAACGACGTTTGAGTGAGAGTGTTCAAACCTCTGCTTACAGCTTTATATGCATCAGTGACTAAGCAAATATTATGATTATGAAATAAATTTGGTTTGATTTTTTTCCATATTATTTCTATTAAGCAGTGCTTGATTGCTTAAATGGACGAGCCGCCTGATACGCATATATGAGTGCGTGTTTACTTTATTGGGTACATTCTTTATGGATTCCTGTAATCTATAACAATTACAGAGACGACTCAGGAATTTCTTCTAAATGTCACTTCGTTTTATTCCTGTTGGGGAGTTGCTGAATAAGGCAGTGTGTGGGCTAAATCACACAGCAGCATCATTGAAGCGCCATGAACGGTAATTTGAAATTGGACTGGCATTTCACATTATCAGTAAAGCGAAATGAGGCATGAAAAAGAAAACACAGCAGATTTTTTTTGCAGCCAACAGCCAAATCCAGAGGAAAACCACATTACAAAAGCAACATACAGCCACATGATGGAGAGCTGCTACTGTCTAGTCAGTGCTGCATTAAACCAAATGACTGATACTGAATGTAACAACTCATAGAAAACAAATCCTAGAAAATAAACGGTCATATTAAACTCCACAGACCCTTAAAAGTGAATTGTTTTTGCTGGTTTGTTGTGAAATTTTACATTCTAGAGAAACTTACTGAGTCAGAATTGTTCACAGTGGTGGTGATAGGAACCAGACAATATTGTTTTATGATAGTTTTGAAATGGTTTTGGCCTAAAATATGCAATCACCATGCAATTTAATGCAATTACCATTATTAACATTACATATAAAAACTCTTTTTACTGCTAATTTTGGAATTCCCCTTTATTCCCCTTGATAATAACTCCAGGTAATAACTGAGTAATAAGCCTTAGAATGTGGACGTCAGTGAGGTTTAATGAGTTAACCAATTAATATCCTGTTTATTTATTTGTTATTAATCTAAAGACTTAATATTTAGTAAATACTGTCATACTAATATGAAAGATATGCAGTTATGAAAGTTAGAAATTGAACTCTGGGTTTTAAGGGGTTAAGACCACCCATGGGCAGGCTCATAAGCAGGGTCTCCGAAGCGGAAGGCAATTTTCCTTGAGCTTATAGTCAGTGATCAGCTAGGCCACTCTTCACTGTGTCAGTGGTCACTGGTCAGCTAACCGACTTTTCTTGTGGCTAGCAATCACTATCCATAGTGTTGCATTAGCAGCCTGAGTAGGCGAGTTAGTCCAGTAACCCATGTGACCAGGGGAGGCTTACACGCCCAACGCTGACATGTGTGATGATGATCATAGGTATTGAAGTAATGAGCTTTTCTGGGGCGCAGGACCCAAGCAGGGCGGGGCAGGGGGTGTGTGGGGAGGAGGCACGAGGGAGGGAGAGGCCACAGTTTTCCGTTTGTTTTTCCCGAGGTTTAGAGGGGCCGGGAAGAGGAAACGAGGGCAAAAGCAGGACGGTTTTACTCGTTGTGTAGTGGAGTTAAAGCAGGGTCACTCCTACGCCATACAGTGGCCTAAGAAGACTAAGGCAGATTATGTCAGAGCCAATTCCCATAGACTTTTTCAGCCGGTTGTTGTGGACAATGTTTGTGAACAACAGTATGGTTTAGCTAGAAAGGAAGAGAGTTTATCTCTGCTGTCATATCAGAACCTCGGTTTTGCTTTTTGTATGCATAACCATTACATAATAAATAGCTCCAGATCCTTAAGTGCAATTTATTTTCCTTAAACACTGTTATTAACAAAATTCCACTATAACAGGCCTCAAAACTAATTATAACATCAAGCTTTTCGGTGTACACTTTGCTTTTAATGCAGCTTCCATTCACTTCACTTTTCAGGAAATCTACAGGGATATTTTTTCACACCTCCAAAGTTCAGTCTTAGACATTGGTTGTACTTTCTGCTTCTCACACTAATCCCAAGCACAAATGTCTGTCTCCTTTTCTCAGTAAGGCATCTTAACAGCTACACATCCTTTCAGACCCACAGTGCTGAGTCGTCTTCTCACAGTGGAAGGATGGACAGACACACCTGTGGATGTTTTCAGATCTGAAGCAGCTTGATTTTCTCCTCTCTCTCAAAGATGAAAGCTTTAAGTGCTGTTTATCTGAGGGGGCAGTTTTGGTGTCTACCAGGTTTTGCACAGTTATTATGAGTCTCATTTCTTTGACCTCCAGTTTTAATGTGTAGAGAATGTAACAGCTCAAAGCGGTCAGGCCAGTAGAGATGACACTTACATTAGATGTTGGTTGATGGCCTCAAAGGCTTCCATTGATCCTAATAGCTGATAATGCATCTTCCAACCAACACATGTTGGTCATCATTGTGCTTTTAACCACCATGCAATCAATGACCACAAAATATGGATTATTTAAACGTGGTGCACCCAATCTATCAGCAGTTTTGACCCATTAGTAAATCGATAGCTACAGTGGGCAGTGGCTGCTGAGGTTAGGAACATCAACTTATTCTGGTTCTAATATCTAATATACTCTACAGGGACAAAAGTATTGGGACACCTACAGGAGCTTTTATGACTCCCATTCTAAACTGAGGTATTAATATGGATTTGGTCCCCCCCTTTGCAGCTATAACAGCTTCCACTCTTCTGGGAAGCTTTCTCCAAGATGTTGAAGAGTGTCTGTGGGAATTTTGGCCCATTCATCCAGAAGACCATTGGAGGTTAGACGCTGAAGTTGGACGAGAGGGCCTGGCTCACAATCTCTGCTCTAGTTCATCCCAAAGGTGTTGGATGGGGTTGAGGTCAGGGCTCTGTGAGGGCCAGTCAAGTTCTTCCACACCAGACTCACCCAGTCATGACTTTATGGACCTTGCTTTGTGCAGTGGGACTCAGTCATGCAGGAATAGAAAAGGTTCTTCCCCAAACTGTTCCCCCAAAGTTGGAAGCATAGAATTGTCCAAAATGTCTTGGTGCTGAAGCATTAGGATTTCCCTTCACTGGAGCTAAGTGATCTAGGCCAACCCCTAAAAAACAACCCCATATCATTATCCCCCCTCCACCAAACTTTACAGCTGGCACTTTGCAGTCAGGCAGGTAACGTTCTCCTGGCGTTCCCCAAACCCAGATTCATCTAACAGACTCCCAGATAGAGAAACGTGATTCATCACTCCACAGAATATGTTCTGTAACTTTACGTGTTCTGACACTTCATGGATGAGTTGCTGTGGCTCCTGAACACTTCCACTTTTCAATAAAACTACTTACAGTTGATTGTGGAAAATCTAGAAGCTTGCACTGGTGGCATCCTATTCCAGTACCAGGCTTGAATTCAGTGAGCTCTTCAGAACGACCCATTCTGTTACAAATGTTGGTAAAGGCAGACCTGCATGACTAAGTGCTTGATTTTATATACCTTTGGCAATAGGACTAATTGGAAAACCTGAATTCAATGATTAAGAGGTGTGTCCCAATACTTTTGTTCATGTAGTGTATGTTTAGCTGAGACACAATCGAAGTCATTGACTCACACATCAGTTGAACTCCATGTTAAGTCATTAAACACCATTGTGTTGTTCATGGAATAATCTTTGGCTCTTATGTTGCTTGGCAATCATAGCCTATATTTAACAAATCACATTGAATAGAATTAATAATACTAAATTAAAGTATTTATTAAACACTATTTTGTTAACATTTAGAGCAGTAAGCCGCTCAAGACTATACATTACAGTGATTTTAGTCCACTTTGCGTCATGCCTACATTGTAAAAAATTTATGTAAATTTGAAACAGAAACACTGCAGTAATCTATTGTATTTCTAAAACAACCAGTTGCTGTAATGAATTGCACATTCTGGGAAATACAGGTCAAATTTCCTTATAAAGAGGTTAAAGTGTTGGATTTTAATGTAATTAGCTGTTATTTGTGGTGGGTTTGGGGGATGGGGTGTTTAGAGCTTCCCAGCATTTATTGTGATTTTGTCATGTTATGTTAATTAACTTCTATTTTTTTTTCATCTACAGTTCATGCCACAGGAGTTTTTGATCATAATTGATCATTTTTATATTAAAATTGCCATTTGAAAAAGGGCATTTTTTAAAATCACAAGAGCTACAATTTTAATTGCTTTATAATTCAACATTATCATAATTCAGCAACTTAATGTATCGAAAATAATAGCATTTAAATCACAATATTGCTAAGAAAACTCATATTTTCCCCAAATTGTTCGGTCCTAGTGTTTTGTGTTTCAGTTAATAATTCATCTCCTAATGTGATTATTAATAGATATTTGGTTACTGCCATCTGTGTAGTCTTAATCAGTGATGTAAGTGCAGTAACTGCTGTAATGTGATGTTCAGTTCACAGTGTGATTGATTAACAGGATCATGCTGTTGTGAAAAATAGCATGATAGTTCTCTTAACTATGTAACAGCATGCATGAATGTTCAGTGTGCATAAATTCATCGTGCCTGCTAATATTTTTCCATGTTACTCCACACAATGTAACAAAACTGAGGGTCCACAGGCAACCTAGATGCACATTAGAGCTGTACATTAGAAATGCAGGTGTGTAGAAACACCACATTTAGATATTTTACAGTATTGTAATGAGTACTGGTAATGAATGGTAAATTACTGGAGAAATGATTGTACGTAAATTTCTGTAATTGTACATTATTTTATTTTTTTACAATGTAGCAACACCATTTAGCTGTGGTAAAATCACTGTAATGCAAGGCCTCTCATGTCTCATTGCTTTAATGTCTCTCTGTGTTGCAGGAGGGCATGTTAACCCGGCTGTATCACTGGCTATGGTGGTCCTGGGGAAGCTATCGCTGAAGAAATTCCCAGTGTATGTGGCTGCACAGTTTATCGGAGCTTTTGCTGGATCCTGTGCTGTCTTTGGGCTTTACTATGGTGAGTGAACACTTCATAAAACCCACAGATAGCAGGGCAGTAGACTAGCGCTTGAATGTTCACAGAACCATATAAATATCAGCTCAACATCTCAAACTAGGGCATATTGTGTTATACTGTATTTACACACGTATATACAGCAGCAGAAACACACTGAGCTCTTGTTTCTCTACAACATTAGACTTTTTTAAAAGCTGCAAATGATCAGGTTTTTTGTTGGTTTGTAATAATATGTTAAAGAAAACAGCATCACACATAAATATTAGTGAGTGAATAAGTGACAGTGCTAGCTTGGGAATAAAGCCAAAGGATGCGCTTTGTATCTCAATGTGTGATGTCAGCACTCAAACCTTTCAGCTGTTAAAACCAGCCTTTGGGCCAAAAGAGTCTCAGTCTGAGCTTTTAATTTGGAAAAAAAAAACTTTCATGTCATCATTGTTAAAACCTTTTCTTCACACCACTGAAGACACTTTAGTGCTGAAGCTAAATATAACTATAAATATGAGGGATTAGCGCATAGCAGCTTTATGTTAACAAGACTTTCTTACTTAACTAAAAAAGTACATAATTTGATGAAAATGTACATTTCTAAATGTGTCCCCAAACTTTTGACAGCCATTGTGTATACAGCTCGCACTCTTAAAAATGAAAGCGTATTTGTATGATGCCATAGAAGAACCGCTTCTAGTTCCCATAAAAATACTTTTCAGTGGATGATTCCTTGGAAAACCATGTTTGTGTATGAGAGGTGTGAGCACAAAGACCCTCCACGTAATGTAAAGGTTATTGAAAGAACCCCTAAAAATGGTAAAGAACCTTTACTTTATTTGATAAGTCTTTACAGCTTTAAAAGGTTCTTTGAGCTCACATATCCTTTTTAAGAGTGCACAATACTGCATGGCAAAGTCACGTTGTTTAAAATGACCAATACAACATTAACTAATGAGAAAAGCTGATAAAAACAAGCACCTCTAATTTCTACAGATGCCTTGATGGACTACACGAATGGAGCGCTGCTGGTAACAGGTGAAAACGCCACAGCAAATATATTTGCCTCCTATCCAGGAAAACACCTCTCAGTACTAAATGGATTTATTGATCAGGTGAGAAAACATTTTATCCTATAAATAATAACGGGAATTCCTGGGTTTGTACGCAGCATCAGTGTATATGATCACCGGAGTTCAAGTTTATTGTTGATAGTTATGTAATAACTATATTTCCACGTACAGTATGAACAGTAGGTACTGGATCTCCTCCAAAGGCTTCTGTGTGCATTTGAGCATAATGAACAACACGGACATGCATGAACTAACCACAGCTCCATTTGAGTGTGCTGAGTAAAACACGTGTGCTTGGGAAAACCGCTGTTCATTCATCTTTGATGCTTACTGTCCCAGCCTTAAAATGCACAGAGGTAAAAAGCTTAAAATATTCAGAGAGTCGCCTTTAGAGGGTCATAGTGGAGAGAGGGTAATCACTGGCTAATGAGCTGATGTTATGTTCGCTCAGTATCTTTACTTTTACACCACTATTCAGTGTTTCTATTGTTTTAAATTAATATTTCTAAGAGAAAAAAACGCAAGCTGTCTATCAATATGACATGTATGTAAATGTAAAACTGCCTCTCATTTATCGTCTGTAGTGGAAACAACTGGGGATGTTTAAAACTAGACAACTGGGTGCATCTTATCTGAGTCATTCCTGAGATCGGTGCCAAACAGTCACGCTAATTTATATATTTTTTTCAAATCAAGAAATCCGTGTTTTTGTCCTCCATAGTTTCAGTTTATATTACTCTTACCTAAAGACAGTTTTTTCCATTTTTATATTAAATAAGAAATGACAGTGATAACTAGAAAAGGAAAGTTTATGAACAAACTTTAGTTAGCTGGACAAAAGCCAACTTATAACGCTTCAAAAGTTAAAGCAGGTGCTCTGTTGATTGTTTTTGACAACTTGATTGGATTCATATAGTAATTCCAGGCAGCTTCTTTGGTGTTTCTTGAGTATTTTCAGTTTGTTGTTAGGGCGTAGCATGGTGGTTATTTAGGCGGTTGCTAAGGTGTTGCTAGGCCATTGCTGTGGTATCCCTGGTGGTTGTTAAGGTGTTTCTTGGTCATTTCCTATGCAATTCAAGGTGGTTGTTATGGTGTTGCTGGCCTGTTTCTATACTATGCAAGATGGTTGCTAAGGTGTTGCTAGGCCATTGCTGTTGTCTCAGGTGGTTGCTAAAGTGTTGCTGTGGTATCCCAGGTCATTGTTACAGTGTTTCTAGCCTGTTCCTATTGCTAAAGTGTTGCTAGGCCATTTCTATGGTAAGCCAGGTGTTGGCTAAGGTGTTGCTAGGCCATTGCTGTGGTATCTCAGGTAGTTGCTAAGGTGTTGCTGGCCTGTTTCTATACTATGCAAGATGGTTGCTAAGGTGTTGCTAGGTCATAGCTATGGCATTCCAGGTGTTTACTAAGGTGTTGCTAGACCATTGCTGTGGTATCTCAGGTGGTTGCTAAAGTGTTGCTGTGGTATCCTAGGTCGTTGTTACAGCGTTGCTAGGCTGTTGCTGTGGTATCCTTGGTGGTTGTTAAGGTGCTGCTAGCCTTTTCCTATGCTATGCAAGGTGGTCACTAAGGTGTTGCTACACCTTTTATGATGGTATTCCAGGTGGTTGCTAAGGTGTTGCTACACCTTTTATGATGGTATTCCAGGTGGTTGCTAAGGTATTGCTATCATACTTGTATGATGGTGACACATGAAAGGTTTCAAAAACATTTCTCTACAGAGCGTATACTGACTGCGATGGAATCAGAGGTATGAGCATTATATTTTATATAAGTCCAGTGACTTCCAGGATGTTGAGCAACCCTTTATTCATTCATATGGAAAAAAACATGCTTGAACAGTATAGGCTGTACCTGAGCAAACAGTGTACTTGGTCTTACAGTCTCTAGCAGGAGATTGCATAACTGACACAAACAGAAGAAACCCAGGGCAGCGGGATTAAACCTTGTTGCCAAAACTTTGAGTTTTGGGGTCAGGAGAGAGGAGCTGTAGGATCTGACCTTCATCTGCGAGCCTTTTCTTTAGTTTAACCTTTATTAAAGTAAGATATAAAGACTGGGGCAACTTAGTTAAATGTGTATGTCAGGATGAGTGTTTAATTGCTTTTTAACTGGTCATATATTTATAAATGTTATGTTTTAAGAAATTTTTTGCTGAAAATATGTGAATCAGGACAAATCTCTGCAATTCTGTACCAGTTTAGAGGAAATTATCTTCCACCAGGCGTCTTGAGACTCGGCTGTTTCCTAAAGAAGCTACTTTTCCCAACACTATTGTCACTTACGTCACGCTTTACCGATTTAATTCCAAATTTTTCCCAGCTATGTGAGTACATGAATTCTTGTCCTGGAAAAGCTGTTATATTTTGTAAATGTTTGTGCAGCCTTGAGCAGCCTGTTTCTAGAACTTCCCAGTATTCCTTGCAGTTTTGTCAGTTTATGTTAATTACCTTTTATTTCTTCATCTACAGTTTATTTCACAGGAGTTTTTGTTGTAATTTTTGTTTCAATCCCCAAAAATGTTTGATGTTTCATGGTTTCAGTTAACTAGTTTATCCGGTAAAGTTGTAATTAGTATATCTTTGGTTTGCCACCTTTGTAGTCTTAATGGCAGTAATTTTACACTACATTTTTTAATGACCTTTTTAGAGCTATGCAAACTTAAAACAAAATTTCTGAATGGGTTAAGATATTTATAAGTACTATTGTATAAGTCACTATTAATAAAGCCACTCAGGGGTCGGCAACATCTCAGTTCCTGTTGTGGCTCCACAGCAAAATTAGATTTATAGGTAAAAATAAAATAATCCTCCTTTGCAGTAAAATAAAGCTCTGCTGATCATTCAACACAGTTTTAACAATAAATGGTCTTAAATGCTGGAGTTAATGTAGAACTACTAATTCTTCCTTTAACCCTGGTGCACAGACTGCTGGTCACACAGCAACACAGACAACAATCTTGCCTGGCTAGTAGCTAACAAAACTGCAAAGAGAGAGTTTTAAGACGAACATCGATAATTTGGAGACTAATGCAACTGGAGATGAATTATTTGCATTTATAATCACTTCAGCTTCAGTTTCCTGGTACGTTTAATCTGCAACGAGAAACTGTCAAACACTAAAAAGTCACAAAGCTGAAGTCGCTTCTCAATCATCAGCTTCTTGTTTGAATTTTCACTTTCCACCTTAAATAGTGCAACAGTTAGCTACATAGCTAGCTACATTCTGGCACCTCAGGCACCATTTAAGATAGAACAGGAAAATTCAAACAAGTTGCTGGTGAACGAGAAGCTGATTTATGCCTTGTAAAAAGTCGAATGTTAAAAGACATTTTAGAAGAAACTGTTCTACTTTTGAGGAAAAGTTTCCTGCTGGAGATGTGAGAAAAGCAGCTACAGCTGAGCTAAAGCTTAAATTGGAGCAGAGTAGGTCTGTGATTTTGTTTATGTTTTTTAGCCTATTCTAAGACGTTAGCACATACTGAGACATATTTACAGCCAAGATGGTAAAACATTACTTCAATAAAATGGTCATAAAATGTTGTGGCTCCCAAGGTGGTTCGATTTTTGTTGAAACTTGACAAAATAGCTCTTCCTAACATTTGGGTTGCTGAACGCTGGACTAAAGAATAGGTTTAGGCTACTTTCCTTGTTCCTGCCAGTTAGAGATGTCCAATTTAATACACATGGATAATGTGAGTTTGTAGATTTTTAATCAAATGTTTGACCTTTTGATTTAAATCCAAGTGGTCAGTTATCTGATTACAGTTACATATGTTTGAGGTTCTATTTGCTTATTTGCTTATCTGAGCCTATAATACATTTCCCCTTTCCTCAGATCTCATTACTCAGTTTAACGAGTGTACTGTGAAAATGTTTTTAAGTATTGTGATATATTTAAAGTAAAATAATAATGAAAATTGATAGGTCTGGATACATTTTTGAAAGAAATTACTAGCTAGGTGTGAGTGACAAAATGTAAAACTATTGTTAAGACTTTAAGCAACATATTTATATCCATCTCACGTAATAACTGCCTGTGAGGGAGCTTGTAGAGGCATTAAACTCTTCAGACTTCTGGTTCCTATCACCTCCACTGTGAACAATTCTGGCTGGGCAAGTTTCTGAAAAACAGATCATTTCACATCAAACGACCTGAATGACTTTGTTTACATCTTATCCATTGATTCATGCAGAAATTTTAAGAAATTGGTGGAATTCCCCTTTAAGACCATATAAGTAAATGTAAATAGTCACATAATTCATATTAGTTACTGAATAATATGTATTAAGATCAATATAGAACCTTTTAACAATATAACCCTGTGTACATAGACATGTGTATCCAGTAGCGTTTCTCTCACATGATGAGCGTCCAGTTCCACAAACACACAGACAGCGGCAGTGTTTTTCAGTGGTGTAATCATTACTGCTTATTGACACAGGTGATCGGCACAGGGGCGCTGGTGCTGTGCATTCTGGCCATAGTGGACAGGAAGAACATGGGTGCTCCTAAGGGGATGGAACCGCTGATCATTGGTCTGACCATCCTGGCCATCGGAGTGTCCATGGGGCTGAACTGCGGATATCCTATTAACCCTGCACGAGACCTGGGCCCCAGGCTCTTCACAGCCGTGGCGGGCTGGGGGATGGATGTGTTCAGGTACAGCAAACATACCTTGTGACCTCTGACTTATGACCCTGACTTTAACCTGTTCCTTACGTCATGAGCAGTGCACTCAGAGAAAAATTAACTCCCAAGAGAAACACATCACCAAAAAACATGTGTAATCATAGGTAGTGATGGCAACATTGTTGTTAATATGAGAATTATTAACCCTTCCAAAATGCTGTGTGTCCGTTTGCAGTAATTTTGGATATGCAGTTGTATGCAAAAATTTAAACAGGCATTTTTATGCAGTTTTAGTGCACAGTTGCTATTCATTTAGTTTAATGTATTGGGGAAAAAAATAAAAAAAATATGCCATAACTTTTGCACAGACCACATTTTGTGTTTATTTTTTTTTCTCCAATATCTTAGGTCAGGAAATAAACAATAACTGTGCATTAAAATGTGCAGATTTGTGTTCTCTGTAGAGGATGTGTACTTACTTTTTCATGTAATCTGACCAAGGGCACCCAAATTTTATATACCACTGTAAAGAGTTTGAAAAGACAAAAAAAAATTCTGATAAAGGTGGTATTGATCATAATAATTCTGGTATTACATGTGAAGCTCCCTCCCAAAAAGAACACTAATGAAAGTGCCTTTTAATGTGTTTTGGAAATAAACCCTTCAAATCTAAATTAAAATTTCATTAAAACACCTTGTGAAGCCCACATTTGAAGTGCTAGTTTGGAAACTGATTTACACGTTTTTTTGCCAATTTTACCCCAATTTTACCCCAATCAGCCAAGACGTTTGCTTCTTTAGGCTACGAATAGAACCTTAAGTGCACCAACTTCATGCTTAAAACCATGCTAAGTTATAATGTAATCTCAAATAGACTTGCTTATGTGGTTTCTTTCACTTTATGACATACTGTTATCTATAAAAATTGACAAAAACACAAAGTACAGCTAGAAACAGAAGTAGCAGCTATGTTGAAGCATGTTTTTAGCAGACAATAGTAAATCATACAGTATCAGAAACTACGAAAGAAAGTTTATTTAAGATTATTTAATAACTCATGATGGTTTGAAAGAACTGTGTGGGATGTAGGCATGGAGTTTGTATGCTAACCTAGCCATTATAAGCTTCCGTTACTTGTTTGCTACATTAGCCATTAGCTATATAATTACAAAGGAAAGAAGCAAACCTCAGACACCAAACATGTCTTGGTAAATCAAAAACATTTGGCATAAGTTGTGGAGTTGTGGAAAATTGTGGAAAGTTGACTTTTTGCCAAAATAATATTAAAAATTATTGCTAAAGCTAACAGTCTTCCTAATGCTAATGCTTACCCTTTACGTCCTGGGTTAAGGTTTAGGTGGTGTTTAGCAGCAGAGGGTAGGAACTAGCTGGATTTAATCAGTAAAATGTTGAAAGATGTGTAATTTCCTGAGTATTTTCAAATAATTATACTTAATATTTAAGTATATTTGTGTGAAAAGGAAACTACTTTTTACACAGTTGCAAACATTTAGTTGCTAAATGTTATTAGTGTTTAATTTCCTTTTGTTAGTGACAGTGACAGCGTCTGTACTGCTTGTGATTGTTCATAAATCTCACTTTTGAGGTTTATCATTTTATTTTAGACCTAAACAAGCCTTAAAAGAGAAGAATTGTGATAAAAATCTATATTTATTCCACCAGCAACACACACACACACAGATAGACACTTGTTTATGATCCAGATGGTGCAGCTTGTTCCCAATCTGTGTGCTGTGTTGTCACTGTGGCTATAAAGGGGAGGCCAGTATCTCAGTGTGCTAAAGTGCAGTACGTGCTTTAACTTTAGTAGCTTTATTCTGTGCCTCAGGGCCAGCAGAGAGCCCACCCACACACAAGGGAGCGAAACACAGATCCTAGCACAACACCCCTCTCTGCTCTTCTGACAGAGCCAATTAATTTTTCAATGCTCTTCTGTATCTCCTGCATATTGGAAAAGGCTTGAAACGTGTGCGAGGAGACACAGGGGTCGCATTCTCTGCACATAAATATTCCAAACAGCCTAACCGAAGTGGAGCTGTGTTTCATTCACTGTCTATTTCTGCTGAAACAGAACGGTCTCGCTCTATTTGGATGGTCTGCTATAGAGGATCTACAGATACTCACTTTATTAACAAACTATATAGAGGAACTTAGATAATTCTCAGCAACGTTCAGATCCAAGTTTAAGGTAAGTTTTAAGATTAAGTTTAAATAACTTTAGGGGTTCGTATTAGAACCAGGCTCAAGACAAATGTTATGTTCTGGTTCGAGCCTCTTTCTGAAATGGAAATCAATTAGATATTTGTAATGATATGATTAAAAAAATAGTTTTCTCCATAATTCTGTTATCAGGTTACGTAGGACACTGTTGGCTTTCTCTGTAAAATGTGACTCTGCGTTGAGCTGCTAGCGAGCAATGATGGGAGAAAAGGGAGGGGTTAGAAACCCTTCCTGTCAAAACTGTTCATACCTCTCCATAAAGATGGTCGTGCAGAGATAAAACAGAAAACTGCAGCTTCCATGTCCAACTGTCACCATACAATAATAGGATTTATTCACAATAAAAACACTTTTGCTTGCTCACCTGCGAAGATGAAAAGTTCACTTTTCAGTATTGTAAATTTTTGTAAATTCTCATCAAAATATATTCCACGAATGTTACTAAAGATAAAAATGCATAGCTCGACTGAGGGACCCCCAAAATAGATGGAAATTGCAGTCAAAGTGATGTTAATGGATGCTTAATTGAATATAAGGGTGTCATGACTTCAATTCTACTTTGAAAAACTTACAAAAAAATATTATAATAGTTTTTGCCTCTCATTTACCATATTTCATGAATATCAGTCAATGATCAAAACTAAGTGTCTGGGCATATCATATCATAGTAAAGTGGGCAGGGAAGGGGTGGGGCTAATGCTATACATGCTCCCGAATTCTCCATAATGTAATATGAAGTTAAGATGTAAACAAAGTAATTCAGAATGGTTTGCTGTAAAATGCTCCATTCTAGAGAAACTTACAGAGTCAGAATTGTTCACAGAGGTGCTGATAGGAACCAGACGTCTGAAGAGTTTAATCCGCTTGTTGTAAGGCGAAGAAAAGTTATTTTTTCAGAGTGACCACTATGTTATTGTTATCAACACTACATATAAAAACTGATGCATGTAGGTTCACTGGTGATTTTGGATAGTAAATAAAAAGGCTATATTTGTGTTGTAGACATGGCGACCCTCTGGTTTCTATCAGCACCACTGTCAGGTTTCTGTACAATGAACCATTTCACATCAAACCACTCTGGACAACATTATTTACATCTAAATGAATTAATTATGCAGAAATTTTACAAAATACATGAATTCTCCTTTAAAAGACTGGCCATTTTCTGAAATTACTCATAAATTCTCTGGGATTGCAATTTTTGGCATCTATCTTTGATAAAAAATCTTCACTTCAGAGTCAAAAATGGTATCAAACCTGAAAATATGTGCACCATTACACCCCTACATGAATATAATTTAATGACAAGCATCTGCAAAACATTTACAGCAGATCATCCAGATAAACTGTTACCAAAACTTCCAAAGCTTCCACCTCTGCTTCAAAGCTGCCGGCAAGAACGCTGTGTTTTTATTTACTCATGATAAACATCCATGGTCATTGCGCAGGGGAAGAAAGCAGAGCTGTTTTCGAGGCATATTTACAAAAGAAATGTTACATAACTGGTCTTGCTCAACAGTTTAAAGACACTGAGAAAAGTGGACAGTAATATTTTGAATGCCAAAAGTATTTTGAAGTTACATCACAAGTTTCAGCAGAGGGCACTCTCAGCTGAATCTGTGTATTTCTGAAGCGTTTGCCGTTTTTGACCCTTTTATGCTGATACCGAATGTACACAAGCATGTAATCACTAGTAATCTGATATACTCCATGTTCATGTCACAGACTATATGGTAAATCTGGTACAATCACCTGTTTTGAAGCAAGGATTAAACAACAAACAGTTTAATCTTATCCAGAGCACAAAAATCACCAAACCAACATAAAAGATGAGCTTGAGGCAGTGAGAGGGAAAGGAAAGAAAAAAGTGCACTAAAAAAGGTGCACTTTGTAGTTCTACAGTTACAGCCTGTAGTCCATCTGTTTCTCTGCATACTCTGTTAGCCCCCTTTAACCCTGTTCTTCAGTGGTCAGGACCCCCATGGACCCTCACAGAGCAGGTACCATTTGGGTGGTGGAACATTCTCAGCACTGCAGTAACACTGACGTGGTGGTGGTGTGTTAGTGTGTGTTGTGCTGGTACGAGTGGATCAGACACAGCAGTGCTGCTGGAGTTTTTAAACACTGTGTCCACTCACTGTCCACTCTATTAGACACTCCTACCTTGTCAGTCCACCTTGTATATGTAAAATCAGAGACGATAGCTCATCTGCTGCTGCACAGTTTGTGTTGGTCATCCTCTAGTCCTTCATCAGTGGTCACAGGACGCTGCCCACAGGACGCTGTTGGCTGGATATTTTTGGTTGGTGGACTATTCTCAGTCCAGCAGTGACACTGAGGTGTTTAAAAACTCCAGCAGAGCTGCTGTTTCTGATCCACATTATATTCGCATTGAATTACTTACATCTTGATAATTGAATTATATAGAAATTTTGAAAAATTGGTTGAATTCCCCTTTAATAGTTTTAACACTACTCTTCCACTCAGATTAATTTAAAACATTTTCAGCTTCAGGAAAGAAACAATCACAGCCCCACCCACCAGATGATCAGGCTAGTGTTTGTCAGACTTTTCACTACTTAGTGAGGTTTCCATAATTTCTTGGTCTAATAATCCTAATTTACTGCCACCACCATTTTCACTGCAGGTTCATTCTGAGGAGTTCTGTCAATGTTTTTGGCTGATGGAGTTGATGGAGGAAGGAACGTTCAGAGACGACTGTGGCTGGCTGAGAGCCGTATCAGTCATAATTTTGCAAATAGTTACTTATATGGAAATTATAACTTATACACTTAACTTAAATACTCACAGTGGCCTGAAGTTCACTCACAATGTCTGAGTGAAGCCGTCTGAGCCCACTCATATCAGGCTTAACTGAAGTGAGGCACAGACGGAAGGGGGGATCAGGGAAGGTGTGTGTTTGGCCACGTGTGGGTGGACTGAGTGTGTGTGTGACGTTAGAGAGGACGTGCTCACCCTGGAATCTGGAGAGTAGATTAGAGCTCTAATCCAGGCTTCATCCTGTAACACACACAGGAGCCACTTAACCTCTTAAACCCTAAGGGTCTGTGTGTGTGTCCCCACACTGGAGGTAACTGTTTACCAAAAAAGCTAATTTACAGAGTTTGCCCTTTACCCTAAAAGAAGCTGATCAGCCAGGACAGGTTTGTTGTCTGACTCCGCTTCTTTACTTTTGCACTGGAGCTATGATTTCACCAAGAAGATTTTGGTTGTATGCAAAACAGCATAAAACTGTACTCTACATATTCTGATCAGTGGGCTTCTAATGGTGGTGTACTATTCTCGACATACTGCTTAGCATGCTATTATGTGGCTTGGGGCGCATCTATTACTTTTTAGCCAAATTAGCTAGCATAGCAGCTGTCCCTAGGTTAGACACGCTTTGCAGGATGTTGTCAAAAACCCCATTTAAGCTATTGAGAAATTGTAGCAGTATTTATTTAGAGTCACCACATAATGTTGGCTTTTCAGTTTAAAATGCTAAACCAGATCAGCAACATGAGGCTCTTTTACTGTCCTGTTGTGGCTCCACAGCAGGATTACATTTTTAGATAAAAACAAAATAATCCTCCGTTACAGTAAAATAAAGCTCTGCTGATCATTCAACACAGTTTTAACAATAAATGATCTTAAACACTGGAGTGAATGTAGAACCGCTAATTCACCCTTTAACTCTGAAGATCGGCACTGACTGCTGGTCACACAGCAACGCAGACAACAATCTCACCTAGCTAGTAACTAATGAAACGGCAAAGAAAAAGATTTACATACTACAAAAAGTTGCATACTACAGTTTCTGGTGAAGTTGAACTGGACTTTCACCAAAGTTCTGTAAAGTTTGTTCAGCCAGCAACCAACGGTTAGCATGAAAGCGTGAATTTGTGAGTGGAGCTTAAATGGCTCTCATAGCCGCATAACTTAAATTTTAGTTTTATAGTACACGCTTAAAAAAGATGGTTCTTCAGGGTTCTTTAATGAAGGCAATAGTTCTGTTTAGAACCATGAGTTCCATTTCATGCTTAGACGGTTCTTTGCATAGTGAAATGCTTCTTCGGATTGATGGAGAATGTGTTGTATATTGTTCTATATAGTACCTTTTTTGAAAATGGTTCTATATAGCACCAGAAAGGGTTCGTCCATTGCTACAAGCTTGACATTCCCTGATGAAAAAAGCAGCACAGACCTGCATGCATTCCATGCTGGTCTCAGCTAGGTTATGCTGGTCTACTCCTGGTCTGGTGCTGGTTTAGCTGGTCACCCAGCATACCAGCATCCAAAATACAACATATTGCTGTCGTCGGAAGAAAACCTCGTATCTCGAAAATGGTAACTTTGGAAACAAACTTCACTTTTAATGTAGGTCAATGGAACCAGACTTTTTTTCCAAGTCATTTTGGGCCATTTCTTTTAGTCCATTTATCATGAAATTTGCACACAATGTAAAAAAACAACAGGCATTTTCAAATTACATAAAAAACTGAAAAACAACAAAATTGGAGATTGAGATTTTCTTCCGACAGCAGCGATATGCTGGTTTTGCTGGTGATCAACATATCATCTTCCAGTGCTATTGACTAGCATACCAGCATCCAGAAACACAACATATGCTGGTTTTGCTGGTGACCAGCCATGCTGGTCTATGCTGTTTTTTTCTACCAGGGCCATAACAATAGCAGAACCCTTTTTGGTGCTATGGAGAACCAATGCCTTTACTAAAGAACCCTTGAAGAAGCATCTTTTTTAAGCGTTTTAAGTATTGCACAGTAGTTTGAGAAAAACAAGTCTTGATATAAATAACTTTAGATAAATAACGAGCCTAGGATTGAAGAGGATGAGAGCTTAACACAACCCCATCAGGCTCAGACACTTGTTTACCTGAGCTTCGTCTCAACTGGGCCATTAATTCAGTCCTCTACAAGTAAATTGATCTGATTTAGCATGGCTAAACCTGTAGCGCAGTGCCAGTGGGAGGGATGGTGATTTACCTGGCCAGCCCTTTGACCAAGTCAACAAAAACAGAGAGAGGGCACGCTGCCTGGACCACTGGGATGCAGACCAGCATGAGGAAAGCCGGGCATCACAACAAACCTACAACTCTGTCCAACGTGATAATCTCACAGTAGACATGGTGGTAGCAGCAGTGGTGCAGTTAAGGCCTGTGTTTATTTGGCTAGCCTCTTCTGGTTAAACTAGGTGTTAGCTTTATGGTAAAGGGCTGGGTCAGTGAATCTACAGAGGAGGTTACATGGTGAGGTAGGGACACTGAAACCCATGCATTACTGAAAATATAGAGTCACACTACTATTAGAGCTAGACAACTGAAACATGAATCAAGCTGAACTCAACACAGCATGTATGTAAAACTGTGTTATGGTCCATTTTAATTGAGACCTGTATCTAATGTTAACCTGTGTGTACTCATAGCTGACATTAGCCTGTAACTTATCTGCAAGTGTGTTCATAACGGGCGAGTATATGTTAAACTGTGAGTGTGTGAATTCATAACAGATCCTTCTTGACAGCTACACATCCTTTCAGACCCCTAGCACTGAGTTGTCTCCTCACAGTGGAAGGATGGACACAACACCTGTGGGCCTTTTTGGTGGTCTACCAGGCCTTTCACAGCTGTTAGGAACCCAGCTTATATATACGCTAGATTATTTTCTTTATCTCTTTGCCAAGTGTTGTTATAGTTTGGCAGGTAGTTTTGAGTCATAGTTTATGTGCTGTAATGTGGGTTTTATATTGAATTATTATAGTTTCTCTGGTATTTTACTCTTGTTTTTGCCTTTTTGTGTTTGCTGGTTTTGAAAGTATGTCTATCATGTCTGGGATTAGTTTGCCTGTGTTCTGGCCAGGGCAAGCTCAAGCAGAGATGCTTCTAGGAAGGAAAAATTACGTACTTCCAGCCTGCTTCTTCCTCACCTGCTACGTTACAATCTTTAAATAAATATGAACTCCAGTTTTCTTTACATTTCTCCTTCCTTATGCAGGTGGATTGTCTTATATCCTGTCTCCTCAGAAAGATCTCCTGAAAATTAATAACTTACCGAATGGCCATTTTTACAGGACATTAAATAAATGAAGGTTGGCCTCTTGGAGGGGGGGAGCAACGCTACATGCAAGTCTCTTGGAAGCTCTGTTAGACTGTTTCTGGAGATTGTAGGATTGTAGCTAAGCTGTGCTAATTCTTAGCATAAGCTACCAGAGGAAACAGTTGGTGGTTGTAAGCCTCACTATAGTGATATAGTGGGGCATAATCCTTGATAGATGCCCCTCAAGCTGTAACCAAGACCCCTAAAATGAAAATCTGGCTACGTCACTGCCTGTGAGAGTGTATAACTTGAACCCGTGTGTTTGTATTCATAACTCATGCTAACTATCAGTTGCGTATTCATAAGTTATATTAAGCCCTTAAAATTCCAGGCTTGTTACATACTAAGGTTTATTATTTAGCAACTACAGGGTCTTCAGTGCAAACTGGTTGAGCTTTTCTTATGTTAAAGAAGTTAACGTACGAGTGTTGCTGTCTCCTCAGGGCGGGGGGCTGCTGGTGGTGGATCCCAGTGGCCGGGCCGATGGTTGGCGGAGTGGTGGGAGCTGTGATTTACTTCTTACTGATCGAGTTGCACCATCCGGAGCCTGAGAAAGAAAACGAGGAGGAGAACAAGGTCAAGGACAAATACGAGATGATCACCATGAGCTAAAGAGAAGAAGGGAAAACTAACAGGACGCGCTCTATTCGTCTGCAACTGAAGCAGGCGCCATTGTACAAACCTATGTCTGTTTTCTCGTTCTCTCTTTTTCCTCTCTCTTCGGCCAGAATGCACACAGGACTGTGTGTCAGTGCTTTTAATACATGTTACCTGTAAAGGAATGCTCCAGCATTTATCAACCTAAACTGTATCTGCCTCATTGGTGACATACATTGTTTTTTTTATTTTTATGAAATCCCATTGATTCCAAAAACACTCACAGTACTGTGCCAAAGTCAGAGACCATGCTTGCCTTTCTTTAATTTACAGTCTTACTATTCATTTTTCAGTTGATGTTTCTGAGGAGATTAGATAAAAGATAATCCACTTATATAAGGAAGTAGAAAGTCTAAGGAAAATAAGTGACAGAAATAGGAGTTTCCAGAACTAGAGTTCAAAAAATTAAAAGATTCAGAAAAATTGGGACTCCTGACAACCACCTGGAAGACCTGGTAGACACCAAAACTGCCCCCATCAGATAAGCAGCACTTAAAGCTTTCATCTTTAGAGAGAGAGGAGAAAATCAAGCTGCTTCAGATCTGAAAACATCCACAGGTGTTTCTGTCCATCCTTCCACTGTGAGAAGACAACTCAGCACTATGGGTCTGAAAGGATATGTAGCTGTCAAGAAGCCCTCAGTGAGAAAAGTTCATAGACAAGAAGAAAAATTGCACTAGACCACCAAAATATGTAGTAAGGTTTTATGAACTGATGAGATCTATAGAAGTAACAGGCTGTTTGTACACGGCCGAAGCATTAAAAACTCTTCTAACCGCATCAAGAACCACCAGTTACGAAAGAATCAGTGTGTACAAGTTTGGGGATGTATATCAACGTCTGGAGTTGGTGGATTGCTTTTGATGGAAGGCATGCAGATAAGTACAAACAGTTTCTAATTGAATTTCAAGATAAGGACACCAAGGTCCACTGCTGGTGTTCTCAGAGTCCAGACCTCAACATCACTAAACGTTACTTGGACCATAAGAAGCAGAAAGTGCAACCAACTACTAAGACTGAACTTTGGAGGTGTGGAAAAATATCCCTGCACATTTCTTTGAGAAACTGAAAGCAAGTCTCCTGCAAAGAATGTAGGCTGTAATAAAGGCAAAGATTGGACAAACTAAAAACTGAAAAATATATATTTAGTTGTTTGCACAGTACTGTACTACAGTAACCAATGGGCAGATGCTGAAACACAGTCCCATTGGCTTCTATTATAAGTATGTTTTGAGTTTTTTTAAGTACTGTCATGGAAAACACACTTATGCTACAGAGGTATGCTACAGATGCAGCATGTAGACATTAGGTTGAAAAATGTGGTAACACTTTATTTGGAGTGGGTCCTTTGTAGATGATTAATAAACTGTTAACAGATTATCAGTAACACATCAACAACATATCAGTGAAGTAGCAGTAGTGAAGCGTCTGAATACACTGAAGTAAATATCTTGTAGTTGTTCTGTTGATACATTACTTACATTAAGTAGATGTTGTTAATATGTTACTTCCATTACTCAAAATCTAACTTTACCAACCTTACACAAAACCTAACCCTAACCCTGGCCCTAATCCTAACCCTAACCTTAACCTCAACCCAAAACCTAACCCTGGTCCTAATCCTAACCCTAGCCTTAACCTCAACTCCTAAAAATGAAAATCTTAATTTTTATCTAATTTAATCCTAATCCTAATTAGACCCAATCCTCATGTTTTTGACATGTTACTAAGAGTCCGTTGAGTGTTTGTTTCATCTAAAAAGGACAACTCAAAATAAAGTGTCCCAAAAATCCTGGTTTATTCCTTTAAGAAACAGAACATTTGCTTTTTGCCCTGAAAGCATAAAGCACTATTTTCGCCAAGTGTACTGTTACCATAGTATATAATGAATAGTATGTAAAGCATGATTAGTCCTATGAGCAGATTTATGAAGTTTGTATTTGAGAATTAGCACTTCTTACTCACTTCTTACTCACTTCTTACTCGTATCTGTCTTTTTGTATTTGTTTTAAAAACACATGAAACAGAACTGGGGGAATTCTTGTTCAGGAGTAGCAAATCCAGATGAAATAGCAGTATTTAGAGAAATACTCACTCTCTGTGTCGATATAGAACATTTATTTTTCAAAAACTGCTACAGTATAGAGCTCGTCTGTTATGCAGCTTCCATTAGGCATGTCCATTTTCCATGACCGAAACATGGAAAAAGGTTTGACCTCATAGAATAAAGTAACAAGGCATCGCTATGATGGCAGCAGGACGTGTATTAGGATATTTTTAGTCACTGTTGAAGTTAATGGTGCTCTCTGTATGGGGTGAGCCGTCCACTCTTGTCTGTGAATCGTCAATAATTTAAAGCCATATGCACCTCAACTCCACTCACACTGAACAAGAGGTTCACAGACTGTTGGGTTTGGATGCATCAATGCATGTACCGCTCTTTTCCACTGGCTATATACTTAAAAAAGTGATGCACTTGACTGACTTCATTCAAATGTGTACAAATGTGTAATATATATTGTGTGGAAATGATGTACACGTCTTCAATGAAGTAAATTCAATGCTGCATGTTGTTTTTCACTGTTTTCTTATCGATTAAAAGGAACCGAATGGGCGGGTTTGAGTGGAGTTAGCTGATCTAAGGGCAAAGGGTGGGCAGCTTCCTAGGGAATATCAAGGCCAACAACCTGTAACAGGAAAACAAATATGGTGGACCTGCTGAAAAATTAAGCTCTCAAATAAACCTGATGCACTACTGATTGAGCTCTGAAGCAGAAAATGACACTTCTGTATTATTTTATTATCATTTTTACTATTATGTATGATTTGTAGGTGGCTATGCACTGGAAAATGTGCTAATTTACATGATTCAAATGTGCACGTGAATAAAATATTTTACAAAATTTTGCCTTTTAGTTCTTCGTTTGGCAGTGACTGTGTTGATTTAATACAGTTGTGTGCAAATTCCATGCTTTGTTGGTTTTTTAAGTGAAAATAAGTAACATATCCTCTTCAGAGAACACATTTGTGCACACTTTAATGCACAATGTCAATTTCTATTTATTTGCTGCACTGAACATATTGGAAAAATCAAAACCGAAATGATTAAATGTTTTTAATTTTTTCCAAAACGTGAAATTCAGCAAATAAACAGTAATTGTGCATGAAAATGTGCAGAATGTGTTCTCTGTAGAGGATTATTAACTTATTTTTTACATAAAAAAATCAACAAAACGTAATTTGGCCAGGGGTGTGCAAACTTTTGACTGAATATGACTATTTATTTTATTTGTGTGCACATTTGAATCATACAGAAGTCCGGAGAGGCCATGAGCTGTTGCTATAACTTTGCAAATTGTTATCTTGATATAATGAGTTAATTATCTTGTGATCTCAAGATAACAACTTTGTTATCTTGAGATCACAAGATAACTCATTATTTCAAGACAACTTTATCTTGAGATAACAAGACAACTCATTATTTCAAGACAGCAACTTTGTTACCTCGAGATAAGATCATCAACTGATTATTTAAAGATAACAACTTTGTTATCTTGAGATAACAAGATAATTAACTCGTTTTGCTGAGAAAACTTTATCTTGAGATAACAAGATAATTAACTCATTATTTCAAGACAACTTTGTTATCTCAAGATAACAACATGATTAACTTAAAGATAACAACTTTGTTATCTTAAGATAATAAGATAATTAACTCATCATTTCAAGATAACAACTTTTTTTATCTTGAGATAACAAGATAATTAACTAATTTCAAGATAATAACTTTATCTTTAGATAACAAGATAATTAACTCATTATCTCAAGACACAACTTTGTTATAACAATATAATTAACTTTTTTCAAGATAACTTTGCTATCTCAAGATAACAAGATAATTAACTTATTATCTCAAGATAACAATCCAGAAAATTATAACTACCCCATGCCCTCTCCGGACTTCCATAGAATCATGTAAATTTGCAGTTTTTAGGCATGGATTACAGGAGCGGTTAGTTTTTCCATATTTTTCCTATTTTTCCCTGAATCATATTTAGCGTTCAGATTGTGTTATTTTCTTTAGACAACTACAGTGTGAATTAGAGGTTATCATTTTTATTCTTATTTAGTTTGCTCTTTAAACAGAACGTCATTTTAAAGTATGTTGCATGCTCTCTAACCTTTCTGGTAATCTTACTGCTGCCTATAACAATTGTGTGACTAATACGAAAGTAAACTAATGTGAAATGTAAAAATCTGATTTAATAAATGGGTTAATGAATGTCTGTTTGCTCTGGACAGATGAATATATCCAATGCAAAGATTTAGTGACGGCACTGTATCAGACCGAATTCACAGCCCGTGTCAATATCCTTGTGTATTTTTAAAGAACACCATGAAAAGTGGCAGCCGTTGAAAGACGAAAACAGTTTTGACCCGAACAACCCTGTGCACATTACGTGGGTCTGATCCAGGGACACCGTTTGGTTCATGAACCGTTTCTCACTGTTCTGGGTCACAGAGCTCTTTCCATTGAGGTCATGCACACACGTTTTCAGTTTCCAGATATTCAGTGCATTTAAGTTCATTACTGCTACATTCCCCGAATGAAGACTGTGTAGGCAAAGGTGTGCAGATGTAATCTATCCAATCACAGCGCACTGCATTCACTGACACCACGCCAGTCAAAGCTCACAGTTAAGCAGCAAGGCCTTTAGGGGCTCTAAAAGACACATCCCCACCCACCACAGTCATATTATTTTGTATATATCAGTATTCAATGTTGAATCAATTACTTTACAAACCAGTTAAACATTCTTTTAAAGAGGAATTCCACCAATTTTTCAACATTGCACCAAACTGATACAAATGCAAAATTGATGCAAAATGATAAAAATGTGTCAGGTCAAAATTGCTCACATTTGTTGCGGTGGTGATGGGAATCAGATGTCTGCTTCTAAAAGCTCCCTCACAGAAAGTTATTACATGAAATGGTAATATGCTAAAGACTGAGACGTTGTTTTCTGTTGGTTGCTGAAGTCCTGGGTTTTGGCCTAAAGTGTATTTCTTTAAATACATCCATGATGAAGAGGGACATGCAGGGCATTATAATGCAAAACAACAATTATTTTTTCATTTTTTTTACTACTTTGCCATGACCAACATTGTGAAAGTACAGAAGACGGGTGTAAGTTCTCTGGTTGTTTTGGATAGTGAATAATGTATTCGTGTTGTAGACACTGCAACTCCTGGTTCCTATCAACATTACTGTAGTCAGTGTCTCCACAATGAACCATTTCACATCAAACATCTCTGAACTACTTTGTTTACATTTCAATAGTTGAATTATAAAACACTATAAACAAAAATATGCAGAAACACTTTGGAACTCCCTTTTTAAAATGCTATAAACACTGTTCAACCAAATGAAGAGGCTATGACATCATTACAGACTTTTATAGATGAGTGGAAACTTAGCTAAGCTAAGAACTTGATGTGAATTACCTTAATACCTCCTATTCTAGATTCTACCAAGTTACTTACTAAGTTTTCTACAACAGCCTAAATAGTAGGGGCAGAGGAACAGACAAGAAGACTAAATCCAACTAGTTACACTATACGGCTAAAAGTATGCAGACAGCTGACCACTGAACCTATATGAGATTGTCGGACATCCCATTCCAAAACCATGGACATTAATATGGAGTTGACCCCCTTCATGGCTATAACAGCTTCTACTCTTCTGAGAAGCTTTCCATGGATTTTTGGAGTGCATCTGTGGGAATTTGTGCCCATTCGGTCAAAGTAGCATTTGTGAGGTCAGACACTGATGTTGGACAAGAAGTCCTGGCTCACAATCAACATTCGAGTTCATCCCAAAGGTTTCAGTGGCATTGAGGTCAGGCCACTGGAGTTCCTCCACACCAAACTTATCAAACCATGTCTTTATGGAGCTCACTTTTTGTAAAGGGGCTCAGTCATGCTGGAACAGGAAAGGCTCTTCCCCAAACTGTTCCCACATAGCTGGAAGCATAATTGTGTAAAATGTCATTGTATTCTGTAGCATTAACATCACGCTTCACCAGGAACTGACCCTGAAAAACAGCCCCAGCCCATTATCCCTCCTCCACCAAACTTTACTGTTGACACTGTGCATTCCAGTAGGTGGCGTTCTCCTGGCATCCACCAAACCCAGATTCGTCCATCAGGCTTCCAGATAGTGAAGCGTGATTCATCACTCCAGAGAATGTTTCCACTGCTCCTGAGTCCAATTCATGAACCTTCCAATGCACAGTTCTTGCGCTGATGTCGCTTCTAGATGCAGTTTGGAAATCTGTAGTGAGTGATGCCACAGAGGACATGCTATGTGCTTCAGCACTCGGTGCTCCCACTCTGTGAGTTTGCGTGGTCTGCTGCTTTGTGGCTGAGCTGTTGTTGCTCCTAGATGCTTCCATTCCACAGTAATAGCACTTACAGTTGACTGGGGAAGATCTAGCAGAGCAGAGATTTTATGAACTGACTTGTGGCAGACGCATCTTATGACAGTGCTGTGTTTAAAGTCACTGAGCTGCTTAGTACGATCCATTCTACTGCCAGTGTTTGTCTATGGAGATTGCTCGATTTTATACACGTTAGCAGCGAGTGTAGCTGAAACACCATAGGTCAACTATTAGGAGGAGTGTCCACATACTTTTGGCCATATAGTGTAACTTTTGTTTCTTAAACGCCTTAGGTTTTTCTCCTCTCTGCTCCATATAGATATATGCACTTTATGAGCTTCTCTTAATTTCTGACAACACTTTATATCTTTGCTGAAAAACAACTAGCAAGAATTTGCTTCTTCAGAATTGAGCGCACTTTTATTACTAAATGCAGTTGAATTCATGTCAGAACTGAATGTAACGCAATCCACACATCACATTTCCATTCCATTTCATTTCACACTGCTTCAGCCCACTATTGACATTTTTAAACAAAGCTAATGGCTGAAGAAACTTCCCGTTGTCAAATGTAGATTATTTGGACCACAGTATGAGACATCTTTATGTTCTAAGAGCCACCTGCACTACAATAAAACATTTCTCGGTGTGATATTGTCATAAAATTATTAGACGATTTGGTCCCTTTTTAAACTGATTTTATTATCTGTTAGTAGTTGTAAGAACATTTGAATAGAGAAAAATCACTTTACACAAGTAAAATATCTGCAAATAGATGTTTATAATCTTATAATGTTATTAGACATTTTGCAGTGTGCTGCAGAGGGTGTTTCTGGAGGCTGAAGAGTAAACCAGCTCGGAGTGTTTGAAAAAGCAAAGGTTTTTCAGGGCTCTGTTTGACCTTCTGGTCGGACCACTAAGAGTCCAGATAAGAGCGTATCTGAAGCTCATTCTGACATTAAACAAACGCTGGAATTTATGTTCCTTTACAAAGGATTCGAGTCTGTTTATTTGTAAGTGCAATTTGCTCAGAAACACTGCATGCAGATTTAGTCGTACACAAGAGGTTGGGCACCCTGGTCTGAACAATATGTTGATTTTCTAAGTGTAAATAAGTGAACACATCCTATAGGAGAACACACTTCTGCACATTTTCATGTACAATTACTGTTTATTTGCTGAATGTAACATATAGAAAAAAATCATAAAGTGAGGCCTGTGCAAAAGTTATGGCACACTTTTTTCAGATTGTTTTTCCAGTATGTTAAACAAAAAATTGTGGACTTAAATCTATAGAAAGATCTGTTCCACGCAGAGGATGTGTTACCTTATTTTCACTCAGAAAATCAACAAAAATTTAATCAAATAAAATTAAAACTTTTGCATTCGACTGTATGCATGATTTTATTCGGTGTTACAGCTGCACACCGTGGCTGTGGTAAGTTAAAGGAGGTGACTGACCT